CCCATAAAGTTGGAAACTGGATTAAGGCAAAATAGTGCTGGGATTCCCTATACATTACTCTTAAGGACGGAGGCTCTGGGGTTTCCAACTTTTTGGGCTTCTACTGTATGGTTTAGGGATTTTAGGGTTTAGGGGATTATTCGGACTTCGCTGTGTTTAACGGCACACGTTTCCATGTGCTGCACAAGAATCAGAAGCTGCATGCTCCCCGTGACCTCAGCCCTAAAGCTTGTGCTTCCTTCAGAAACTTGGCTTTCTGAAACCTTATAGAGCCTCAAAGCTACTCCCTAGGATATGTCCTGGCTTGTTTTGCATCCGAACATGGAATCCTGCCCAAACCCCTAACCCTAAACCCACCTAAATCGTAGCTCCAAGCCTTACCTTAACCTATCAGAAGCTACTTTTTTCCAGGTTCTTAGTATGAGCCCTAGCCTGGAATTTAAAGGCGCCCTACCAAAAAAGGTTCTGGTAGGGTAAGGTAAGCCCTAAATCTTTTGGGGTTTGGGTAGTCGAACTTCGAGCCTCAGTGATCTTTTCCGTTAAAGCCTAAACCCTAATCCGCGGGCAGGAATTCACTGGCTCAGCTGAGCTCAAAGTATGCCACACGCTTTATGGACGCCTACCAGGAGCCGGAACCGGACGCAGGTCATAGGGTTCATAAGACCCTAGGGCCCTAGGGCTCCAGGCGTCTGTGTAGCAAGATAGTACGTACTTCGGACGGGGTTCATAGGTACGTTAAGGCCTATAGGTGTATACCGTATTGGCACATGGAGCCTTGGGGAATTGCTGAGGAACGAATTGTGGTAGATTGCTCGGGTTTGTAGAGATGAATTATCTTTAATCACTCATTTAGGACGAATGTGGGATACATTTCGTCTTTCAGCCATACAGAACACTTAAATAAAGGGACATTCACAGGCATCACTTCTATGGTACATGTCGTGCTACTGTTTTCATTGTTGCAAGGATTTCTCGGCTGAGGGTTGCCAGGGGTTGGCTCCCCTTCGGATATGTATCGCCCCTGCGATCCGGCCCATTGTCATGACAGTTTAGGGTTTAGGGTTGAGTCCTGACTGGATTCGATTATTGTTGTGGGTCCCCGCAGGTCTTGGGGGTTGAGATTTGGTCGCCGCCTGTACCATCATGCAGCGGCTCAACCCAGTGTGGGCGCCGTCGCTGAGCCGACTGCCGGCCGATCAGACCTGTGAACGCCTGCATACTTACATCAGATCTGTGAACGCAGCTTCTGAATCAGGCATTCTTACATGGTGAGGAATTCGCCGGAATCCATCCCAGGCCCGTCCCGATCACGATCTGTACCACTTACCCCTCACCCTAACCGTTGAACCCTAACCGAGGGCGCCGGTCCGCTTGGACCAGCCTGGGACCCCGCCCCTGCTGGAAGCATGCCCTCAGCCTCTTGGCATAACCTACCGGCCGAGCTGCCGTCGAGCCACTGACCCGCAGATGCTGTGCCCTGCCGAGTGCGCCTGGCCCGCTGCCACCGCCGCAAGCAACGCAATGGTGCTCCACATTGGATGCTGTATAGGATGACACTTTGACTGCACGCCGTCAAACTTCCCTCACGGAATGCGGTGCCACGTTCCTGATCTAGGGTTTAGTTCAAAAAGGCTACTTAAGTTACTATCCAGGGAATCACATCCCAGTGTACGATGAATTCCTTTCCTCAGCACCAATAACCGTTAGGGTCGATGCCGAAAAGGTTAGTTTGCACCCCTCAGTGCAGGGGTTCAGGATTTAGGGTGCCGTTTCTCGTAACCAGTAGGCAGCGCGTTTCTGGCACCCTGCAGTGCCTGAGAGATTCTCGCGGGTTTCCTTTAAAACGATCTATAAAGGTTTTTTATGTCATGTATTTAAAGGGATCTACAAAGATTAAGGTTTGCTTCTGGCTGAGTACCGAGTTCCTGCTTTGTAGCTCCTGCGACTCCGAGCCCTTAAACAGCCCAGCAGGCTTAAGTTCAGGATTTAGGGTTGCTTAATGTGGAGTTTGAGCCCGAGCTGGTTCATGAAAGCCTGGAAATACGAGGTTTCAAACCACACAGCCTTACGTAGTCCTAAACTCTATAAATCGTCAAATCCAAGTTTGAAGCAGCCCGTGATACCGACGTAGTACCTGATCGATTGTCCCAAAGGGTCCTAGGTACTGTTATGGGAAATACTACCCATAATTCCTAATATAGAAACCCCACATTCTACTATATAGGTACTTTGGTCCCATTGGGTGTGTCAGATCCCTGCAGACCTGCTGTTTCTGTGCACAGGGGCCTCAACCACAAACGCGCCACGTAAATGCGAACACAGCCCATGCAATAATTCTAACCTTAACCCCAAATAACTTACCTTGTTTTAGGACTTACATCAACCATCATGATAAGGAACCATACAAAGGTACGTTATTTGTGTCCCGGCTCAGGGTTAACTACTCATATTCGGATCGTCAGTCACATTCCTGTTTAAGTCACAGAAAAAGGCTTACGGCACAGTGGAACAGATTACCTGCAAGTCCTAGGTAACTGAAAATTTAAGGCTCAACACCTCAAACCGTAAAGCCCAAACCCGAAAACCAATTCCTATCCCGAAACCCTTCGACCTCCAAATGGTGATACCTTAGACCGTCAATTTTTCCTTAAACTCCGCAACCCTAAACCCTCGAAATCCTTCTAGCTAAGTGAAGAAATCCTTACAGGAAGAACGAAGCCTAGACACCCTAAACCTTGAAACCCTAAACCCCTAACCCCTAAACCCCTAAATCCCTAGGAACCCTAGCATCCTTGGAAACCCTAAGTCCCTAAACCCTCAAAAACCGAAACCCTAAACCGTTAAACCCTAGAAACCCCTAAACCCTTAAACGCCTAAAAAGCCTAAACCCCTAGAAACCTATAAAATTTCTAGAAGCCCTAGAGACCCCTAAGAACCCTTAGAATTATAGATTAATTAAGGGAGCCCTTAAAGGAACCCTAAACCCAGTCTAAACCCCTAACCCTAAACCCCTAAACCCTAAACCCTTATTATAGATCCTTAAAGGAGCCCTTAAAGGAACCCTTAAAGGAACCCTTAAAGGAGCCCTTAAAGGAGCCCTTTGCCCCGATACCCAGGAGCAGCTGGCCATGGCTGTCCCATCCTTCACCCAGGCAGCGCAGAACTGTCGGGCTAATGTAGGAGCCTTATATAATATTTAGACGAGGGCTCCTTTCCCTAAACCCTAAACCCTAAACCCTAAACCCTATACGGGGTAAAATCCGCCCTGAACCACACCAGAAAAGCCCTGACCTTGAAGCCCCGAAGCCGAAAACACCCTCAAACCCGGCCGGAAAACAATCCCAATCCCTACAACCACACAACCTCCCTGAAATAAGGACTAGGGTGACCCCAAAGAGGTGGGGAAACCACGCAAGCACAAACAAAAACTTTTAAACCCTTGAGCCACGTGTCACGTTGGTACACTTCTCGATGTACCTTAGTGTGTCATCCTTGCGCAGGGCGAGACAATGCCATGCGACCTGATTTGTGCGTGTCTTCTTACGCAGGGGCTTTGCTTGCAAGGCCCCTTGCCTCGCACTCCCCCTGCTGTCGAGACAGCACAGGCATAAGAGCAAAAACTCAGAGGCGCTTTGCATCTGAGCACCCTTGTTCAGGAGAAATCGGGGTAACTGAAGACCACCTAAACCCAAACCATATCCATGCTCCGATGCCCCTTTGGGGCCCAAGTGATCACTGAGTGATCCGTCCCTTGCGTCTGCTCTTCGCGAGGGGTATGCATCATTAGCACAATGCAGCAGGTCAAGCTCATGAATATGTAATGCAGAGTCGCATACTGTACCTCAGAAGCCTGTCCAAATTGATTGAAACATCATGATTGGAAAAGTGTTGTGTGCGAACCGAATAACCCATCATCCACTAACAGGTATAATCAGCCTTTAAACCACGACATCAGACTATAAACACGTTGCCCAATGCGCTGAGACGGAAAACCAGGTGTAGGACCAGATAGCCCAGTTTGGAAAACCATACTGCTTGAAATCATCTTGCGCTTGATTCCCGCAATCACCACCAACTGCGGATCATGCCACTTCGAAACACCGCCGAAACGACCTTGTGGACTGCGACCATGACGAAAACCAATACCAGAAGAAATCCGATATCCGCTCGATCAAACCATCGCGTTGTTGAAGACGTAGTCATCGAAGAAGTCGAAGAAGTTGCTTGCACCAGTTCGTAGCCTTGCAACATAGTAGCCACGAGGATGGCCACGGCGGCGGCCGCTGCACGTGCTGCATCAGAAACCAAATGTGTGGTAGGAGCAGTCGTCATCTGCCACATCTGCTTGAGGTTGACAAAGATTGCTCCGTTCATCAACTTGGTCAGCATATCAGCTAGCATGTGCTCACCTTTCAAGTGTGCCACCACCAGGTACCCACTGTTTAGCAAAGACCGCAAACCGGCTGCTCGGATTCGCAAGTGACGTGTTCGCCATGCACCAGCGACAACTGAAATGATCGAGCATGCGGAAACGGAATCAATGTATAGCGCTTTGGAAAGGCCATCTTCATTGATCCCCAAAAGCATAGAAACGATAGGCGCGACAGATTGTAGCATAGTTGTTCCTTCCAGGGCAGCGTTGAGCTCAGCTTCCGCTGTGCTCAGTGCTATCGTGGTTTGGCGCTGCGTCATCCACATGACTGGGCTGTCGGCCCATACGACCACAGCTCCACTGTGTGATCTCGCCGTTTCTTCACCTTCACATCCCGCAGCAAACGATGCGTCCGTATAAGCTTCCAAGACTGTGACACTCCTTTTGAAACGAAGCTGTGAATCACCACCCAAAGACATAGGATCCACCTTCGAATACTTTAAGCCCAGTGTGACCGTCCTACTCAAGTAATGAAACACTTCATCTGCCTTTCTTGCAACAAAACGCGGATAGCGAGTACACCACACAGAAAGCTGGCTTGTGCAAAAAGCCAGATCTGCTCTGGACTTCAATGCCAGCCATCCTGTGCTTTTCGTAGCGCCTCAACAGACACTTCCTCCGGCTCGTCAGGCGGCGCCTCCTTGCTCATTGGCCCAGCACCACCAATGCCGCCTGCATCTGCTTTAAACCCCCGTCGTTGCAACAGGTCCCTGACAAAGTCCTCCTGGTTCAAGTAGTACGCGCCATCATTCCAAAAGATTTGGATACCCAGAAACTTCAACGGTTTGTCGTCATGACCTCTTCCGCAGAACTCTGGTTCAGAAGTTTTCCATTCAGCGCGAATCTGTTGGATGGCATCTGTGATTATGGACATACTCCCGGCTAACAAAAAGTCGTCAACGTATAGTCCCAAAGTGCCTTTGACACTCTCTTTGCCGTCGGAGTCCGTCGCGATGAGCAGGTACAAGCTGGGATCAACCTCTGACTTTTTGAACCTCATGTCCAAACCATCCGTCTGCCAACGCATCTGTAAAAGCCTCGTGTCTCTCCACTCCACCCACGCAGCTGGGCTTTCCGCCAAGCCGTACAAAGCTTTTCGCACCACCCACCGCTCGGATGGCGAAGCAAGTCCAAGCTTCACCGCTGCTTTAGGCGGTTGCACAATGATTAGCCGACCCTGCCGCTGAACTTGGCTCATTGGTGCTGTCAGAAAAGCCTTGGATATATCTAGACCAGCTAGAAACCACTCTTCCTCCGCGGCTTGCCTCACTTGACACCTGAAGGTTGTAGAATCCAATCCTGGAGCGTATAGCCCTTGTCTGCGCAGCATCTTGGGACCTTGTTGTTGAACACTTGGGCTTCCTGATAAGAAGTTTCCACATGCACAAATTCTAGCTCGCCGTCGACCTGAACCTTGTTTACGTGTAAACACCACCAAGCTTGGAACATATTCAAGAACGGGTGCATCAGGAAGCTTCGCCATCTCCGCAAGTTGTTGCTCCGTAGTCCGTTCTACGACCTGCAGCTCCGTGATGAGATTGTTAACCTCATCTGACAATGCTTCTCTCCAATCCTCCAGCTCCTGCATGGCTGTTGTGGTAGGAATTGTGCGAGTTTGAAGAAACTCCTCATTGTCCCCGGCCTCCTGTGCAATCGTCTCTTGTTGCATCTTTAACAACGAACCTGCATGCTGCAAAGACTGCTCCAACTGTCGTTCGATTTCGCGAGAGTGTTGCAGCCACTCTGATGTAGCACTACCTTCAAACACCTCTGGCAACGACACTTCGGCAATCAAGTACTGCTCTTGATCCGCAATCAACCTTCTTAAGCTAGCATGTTGACTTCGAAGATGACCAATGTCTACATCCGATACAGAATTCTCGTCCCCCCCGACATCACCGAACGCGTTTTCAACGAACACTTTATCTTGGACCAAATGTTCTGTTTGACGACAATCCGACGAAGAAGATGCGCGCATTGGAAAGCCGATGTCCAAGAGAAAACTCCGATCCACATCACAAAGTTGATCACTTCCTCGAGGCGTGAATGCTGTGATAGTCCATCTGGTGCCGCTCCACGGTTGAGGGCCATGAGCCTGTTGGGGTGAAAATGAAAAGAACTGATTCTTAATGTCCACCGTCTTGCCCACGAGGCTACGATCACCGTACTTCCGCTCCACTGCAGATTGATCCTCCCTAGAGATACCATCATCTTGCACCCACAATTCTCCACCCGTAAACTCGCCAAGAGCACAGATGACATTGTTGCACGAGTAATCGTTGTGACGATCTCTATGGACTCCCACGGCAGTGTTACACGAAAGATAAACCGATGAGAATACCACATCTGGATTGTGTTCGCGAACAAAGCTCACCAAGTACTTGACGAACATGGGCCTATGTTTTGCAGCATTGGTCACGCCGCACATATGTCCACGAACATACTGTCCCAGAGTCACAGCTTGAATGCGATCCTCATTGCAGTGAATGTCGCCTCTCCGATTCGCACGAAAATCCAACCCCACAGACTCCAAAAGTTCCAAACACTCTTGTGGTGAAAACTTCTTCTGCTCCAACCACTCACGCGCTAACTCCTCACTTTTTGCGATGTCATCAGTGTAACAGGGTTTTGCAATGCACGCACGCGGACTGTCACCCGACGGGATTTCCACCTCCAAGTCTTCCTGCAAAACCTCGCAAGCAACTGGACCCTCCCCCCGGTTCGTGCAGCATAGTGAACGAAGCGACCCATCTGGTATGAAACGCCTCAACGCTGGAAGGACCTCAGCATCCGTCTCCCTCGGAACCCGCATGGTACGAGCCACCCCTTTGAAACGCATCCGATGCTTAGGAGGCGCTGGAAGTTCCTCAGTAAACTCGGCATCACACTCCGGAACCGACGACTTATGTTCCACCTTGTCATAGACCACCGTAGTTGGAAACATAACCAGCTTGTCAGGATCATCTTTAGCGCCCCTAGCTTCAACGATGTAGCCTCCAGAAACCTCTGTGCATGGACCTAACAGTAAAGCCGGCTGTGTCCGATCCAACCACTGACGCCCTTTCTTAGAACCACTCGGATCACGAAGTTCCCAAGCCCTTCGACGCACATGAACCCGAGCACCAAATGGAAGAATATCACGAGGCTTCAATCCCAGCTGTTGTTCAGCCCATCTCCATCGAAGAGCTGACCAATGAACAGCGGCACGTGCCCAATACGATGAATCCAGATTGGCCTGCTTTAGCAGTGCGCGGACGCCTTTTTTGAACACCCCAACCGTAGCTTCACTGCGACCGTTACTCTGTGGTGATCCGGGGTCCCCGGTAGTACGAAAAATCTGTCGAGCCTCACAGAATGTACGGAAAGACTGATTCACGAATTCACCGCCGCGGTCTGTATGAAGCCGCAGAACTGGATAACCTTGATGTTGAAGCTTGACCAAGATACGCTGTGTAGCGGCTAAAACTTCCGATCTGTGTTTGCTTTTGAGAGGTTCGGCAATCATGAAGTTAATCATGCGCACTGGTTTAGTGGCATGATCCTTCAAAGCACGCCAAGCCTCTTCTGACTCGATAACCTTTTTGACCTCAACCTCCGAAGCCTCCAAACGCTCGTCAGGAGTCACAATATCCCCGTCTTCAGGCTCTAAAGACACATCATCCGCACCATCACCTTCTTCATGCGCTCCCACCACATCGTCAGGAATAGGGAAACCCTCTTCAGTAGCCGGTTTATCCAACAAAGGAAACTGATACGTACCAATCAACACATGACGCTGCGTTTGATACAGATCTTTAGCCTCCTGCCAAGGACCACCCAAATCCAATGAAAGAGTATAAGCGCTGCCATACTTTTGTCGAAGGTGACGCCGATCTTTACCTGCAGCCCGAACGCAGACCTCACAGTCTTTACGGAAAGGTATGTGACCCCTCAAGCAATGATCTCGATACTCAGATTCCTCAGCTGTGAGTTTGGCCAGGTGTACCGCCCTCTCCTCAGAAACAGCTTGATGCTCCACGAAAGATGAGTGTGCCAACCACGCCCGCAAACATCGCTTGATCCGCGTTGTAAGCCCCGGAGCCCACAAGGACCACGACCTAGACATAGCCAACCGTTGACTAGCCTCCTCGGGTACTGACACCACCCATGGGACGCGCACATGAACCTGCTCTAGAGACTCCCACAACTGAAAATCGGAAGTAAGAACCGTCGTTGGCTTGACCATATAATGACCCAAAGCACCCTGATCACAATGTGCTGCAAGAAGGTTGTACCGAGTCCTGAAAGATCGCACCTCTGGCCATGCGAAAAATGTTGGAGAAGCTAGGCTGGGTTGACCTTCTTCTGCAACATCTTCCCTGCACATAACTGAACAACCAATCTGAGAAAACTTTTGCCCCACCAATTCTGGATCTTGCGGACTCTCCAATGCGAAAAACACACCAGCATGTACCGAAGAGGATTGCTCCAATGACAAAGCTTTTCGTGCCTGAACAGCTGTCTCAAACAGGAATAGCACCTTCAAAAACAGTAGGCCGTCTTTCTTAGCCAGTTCCTCACTTGAATAGCTGAGCCCATCCTTCCAGAAACGCCCCTCATCACACCTCCCTCGTAGCACTGGTGGTCCACCGTCCTCAACACCCCTGAACTGAGCCACAGTCTCACATGGCGGGCCACCTACCACTGCAACGACCTTGCCCTCAATTGCCAGCGAGAGGATGTACGTCCACACGGAAGAAGAATGAAGGTCAGTACGAAAATCCACTTCTAGAACTTCGCCACAACTACTTGGTAAGTGCAATCGCGGACCGCCTGAGTGCAGATGAACGATGACGCGTCTGGTTTTCTTTAATCGCCGTCTTTTGTGACGATTGTAAAGCAACTCCCCCACTCCCGAGGCAGGAAGAAGATCCACAAGCATCGATTCCGGGACATCAGGATAGTACCAACGCAACCAACGCCAGCATGCCTGAATAAAGTCATCTTGATTTCCACTACGCATAGCACCATGAAGACACTCACGTACTGAATGTTCCGTGTCTGCAGATGGACACCCTTGAAGCGCACGTACAGACTGCAACATGTGAGCAACCCCCTTTTGCTCCATTTCATCAATGATTCGTAGAGCAACCGCCTCAGCAATGCAAGGACAACCATTGACCGTCTCAACTTCCAGAGGGCCCAGTATTGGATGCGTAGCCGTACACTTTCCTTTGCGCCAACGAACCTGAAGACCAACCAATTCGCTAGCCTTGCCAATCGGAACCAAAGGATCCACCCGCTCGCTTGTAACTAGAGTACCACCATCCGTGAGCATCATTTCCTTCTTGCCCAAAGCCAAAGCCACAGTCACCCTTTTTGTTGGTAACGGCTCCCCCGGACGCAAGGATCTCAAAGGATGCGAAGCCCCAGAATCAAGCAAACCCACACCTTGTGTACGGTCATGGACCCCATCCACCCGAGCAACATTGAGAAAACCAGATACCACGTCCTCTTCAGATCCAGCGATAGCCTTAGAAGCAGCAGTTCCTTGCAGAAGGTCGTCAATTGAAGACCCAATTGAAGACCCTGACCCCCCCCTAGCTGCTGCATCCCCCAACGCCGTTTCCAAGTCCGCAATCATGTCTAAAGCCACCTGGCGATCGATCACAATGCGGCCATCAAGGACTTGGGCTTTCAAGTCACCCTTCTGAGGATGTACAACCGTGCACCGACCGTCAATCACATCAAAGTCCACATGAAGATGCGAATGAGCAAGATGAAAAGGAACTACAGGGCAAACAGTTTCACGAGTAACCAATGTTCCCACCGAATTGATAAGCATGTGCGCGCAACCAGTGGCCAATGCAACTTCAACAGAATCTGTTGGGACAGGTTCGCCTGCCCTCAGCGTCCGAATAGCATGAGAAGCGCAGGTATCCAACAACCCCAAATTCTGCCCCACAATGGCCTCATCCACCACAAGCTTTTTGGCTGAAACACCCCCGCTGTTTGCCCCAGACCCTTGCGACAACTTAAGCGACTTCAAGATGTCCAAAGCCTCTGCCATCACGCGTGAATTGTCAGATGCCGTCGAAGAAGAAGCAACATTACCCGCACCAGAACTACCAGTATGTATTGAAGCCTCCTCCGTTGCCGTAGCTGACTTAGCCGTGGCCTTCGCCTTCGCTTTTGCCTTTGCCGTTACCAGTTTATCCATTTGCTCTTTTGTAATCGGAGAATGCGAAAACTTGCACCGATCCCCAAACTGGCAAGACTTGTCCAAATGAAAGCCCCAACATGGAGACTTGCCCCCTGGTCCTGACTCAGATTCCCTCGACTTGCCTTTCCCCTTTCCAGGTTGATCCTGTGCTCCCGCTCCTGACGGCTCAGATGTTGTGGATGTTGATGTTGTAGCTGTCGTGGCGGCGCGAGCGGCTGCTTTCGCCTCAGCCCTCGCCTGAGCCTTTGCAAGCTTAGCCTTCTTTTTTGCATCACCATCATCATCACCAGTACTGTGTAGCAAGAGTTCCAATTCAGCTTGAAGAAAGATGGCTAACTCCCCAACCGTCAAGGATGTTGGTGAATAGTCTAGCCCTTTCCGCTCCCGAAAAGTCGCCACCCGAAATAAAACCGTTGGATGTTTCGAAAGCACTGCAGAAACCATTGTGTCAAGACCTTTCACTAAAAGTGTAGCATCCGGTTCAGCTGCATGTAGTTCTTTCAATCGCGACCTCCATTGCACCCACTGTCTGACTCCCTTGATCGCCTCCTGCACTGAAGTAGCCGAGGTAGGTGACACCAGATAATGCAACATTGTGCCTCTCTCATGGGCGCCGCCCGGTTGGTATACCGTAAGGAGTTTGAAGAGAATCTGGGAAGGGGACATCCGTCTTGTGGCTACAATATCTGTCTTTACAACTTCAGGAATCGCCTGGAGCAAGAGAATTGAAGCCCGTTGTTCCAATAAGATGTGCTGTGGCATGTGCGTACCATACATCTCTAACTCCGCCTGGATGCCAAGCCGCTCTAATGGTGACACCGAGAGCCACTTAGTGTACGCGCGCGAAGCTCGATCAAAGGTGTAGTCCCACCACACATGGCCCGAATCTGTCAAACTAGAAAGTGTAGGCTTGACAATCGCCAACCAATCACCCAAAGCTGTAGGATTTGATGCGCTGTATTCCGATAGAGTTGGCAACGACATGACATGTTTGCCCAGCACCTCTGGACGCTCCACGGTATGCCCCATCCCACTCGCCACCTGCGGAATAGAAGACGACGGACCTGGATGAGGAGAAGCAGCAGGAGTTAAAGCCACAGGAGAAATATCCAAAGTACCGTTGATCACCCGCCACTTGTAAGGAATCCCAGAAATCATGGTGACCCCAGCCGCTGCTTCACTGGATGTGTGATCCCGAGACACCGAAGTTGCAGGAGCAGGACGTCCGGGTGATTGACCAAAGGTTGGAGCATTGTCCGCAACCGAACCCCTAGCACCACTCCCACCCGAACCCCGAGAATCCTGAAAAGGGAAAAACGGCTGTACAGGATGCTTTTGGTTGGCACTACCACTCAGACTACCAACTACTTGCCCCAACGATTGCGACCCGGGGCCCTCAAAGACCTCTGGCCCGATTGAAGAGCTGGCGTTCCTGTGTGGCACATCCACCCTCGCTGCTGACGGTATCGCGCCACTCAGGATCCCCTGCCCCTCCACCGAGCTAGAGATCTTTGGTGGCACCATCAAACCAGGAGTAGATGCACCCACGACTTCATGAGCAGCTAGCGCGCGATCCCTTGCAAAGCTCCCCTCCTCTAACTCCGCCATGTTAAAGATCACCGCTCCAACTGGAATTCGATTCTCATCAACCCACTCCCACTCACCAGCGGCTGTGAAATTCCAAATGGTTCCCAATGCATCCCGATAATACTCCTTTCCTTCAAGAATAACCGCACTAGATTCCAAAGGTCTTTGCACATCCACGTCTGATGGAATGCTTGTCGTCGGAGCCTGCAAACCTGGAGGATGCTGTGGAACAAACTTGCCCAGCGACACTGTCTCTACAGACTTTCCAGAATGTATCGAGCCAAAACTTCTCTCTTCTACTCTCTGCATTCTCTCTGATAGTTGCGCTTGGAATTGCGCTTGGCTTTCCATCATAGTTTGCAACAGAGTTTCCAAGCGGCTCAAGCGTCCCAGTTCCGGTTGGTCTGGAATCAACTCTTCTTCTGTTTTATCTGGTTTAATCGTAGTTGATGAAGAAGGCGTGGCGGCTGGAAGACCGTCCACCGGCTGAACTTCCCTACTCCCGCGATCCAGGGCTGACGAAGGCAACGGTTGTGGGACTGTTGGGCGCCTAACGGGACCATAACTAACTGGATTACCTACTGGAACCGTTACCCCCGCATGCCCAGCAACGCTTGAGTCTTCCAAGGGTGGTAAAGTTGCAGGTCTCATCTGCCGAAGTTGGGATTCTGTCCGCGCTCGCTCACTCCAAAATGCATGTGGTGTGCTTACAGACTGCATCTCATGACTGCGAGCCACTGCGCTTGACTGCATCTCTTGATTGCGAGCAGTCACGCCTGACTGCATCTCATGACTGCGAGCGGTCACGCTTGACTGCATCTCATGACTGCGAGCGGTCACGCTTGACTGCATCTCATGACTGCGGGCCACTTCACGACCATCTAACAAAGCAGGAGCAGGCCCAGCAGAACGCGAACGACGCATAACAGGATCCATGGCTTAGCACAGGGGGAACCGCGTTTGGGCTCCTAACCTACGGGGTAAAATCCGCCCTGAACCACACCAGAAAAGCCCTGACCCTGAAGCCCCGAAGCCGAAAACACCCTCAAACCCGGCCGGAAAACAATCCCAATCCCTACAACCACACAACCTCCCTGAAATAAGGACTAGGGTGACCCCAAAGAGGTGGGGAAACCACGCAAGCACAAACAAAAACTTTTAAACCCTTGAGCCACGTGTCACGTTGGTACACTTCTCGATGTACCTTAGTGTGTCATCCTTGCGCAGGGCGAGACAATGCCATGCGACCTGATTTGTGCGTGTCTTCTTACGCAGGGGCTTTGCTTGCAAGGCCCCTTGCCTCGCACCCTAAACCCTAAACCCTAAACCCTAAACCCTAAACCTATTATAGGGTTCCTTTAAGGGCTCCGTTTAAAGGAGTCTCTTAGGGCTACTATACGGGGTATTATGGGGGTTTAGTATAAGGGTTTAGGGTTCCTTTAAGGGATCTAGCAGGGTGCCGCTAAAGCGGTTCCTGTAAAAAGTGTCTATAAGGGTTCTATCGTAGACTTCTATAATACATTAGAATAGGGTTCCTTTAAAGGGTTTCCTTAATGGATTATATCAGCGATCTATAATGGGGTTCTATGGTGTAGGGGCCTTAATTAATTAATTAGAATAGGGTTTGGGGCTCCTTGAAAGGGTTCTTTCAAGGGTTCTATAAGGGATGCTAACAGGGATTTAGGGATGTTGGCTTAAGAACTCGTTGGGGTGACTCTGTCATTTGGGGTTTTCAAGCCTTAGTTTAAGGGTTTGGCCACGGTTTAGGGATTGCGCTTTAGCGATTGGGGTGAGGGGCTGAGGAACTTAGGGTTTCAGCTCTAGGAATCCGGGGCGTTGTGTTAAGGGTTTAAGGTTGGGGTCTTCGAAATTGTGCGCGTGGGGTTAAGGGTTTCGGGTTCAGCTTACCATGGAGACGATATGTTGTAGCCCTGATCGACTGAAGGAAGTAATCGACCTCACAATTACTGCCTGGTTCTTAGTAGGGAATGGGGGAATGGAATCCTATAGCAGTCCCTATATATAATCCCCAATCATAGTCCCCATTCGCCCATTCCCTACTAAGAGCCACACAGATTAACTGGGTTTTTGTGAGTGCTTTTGTGCCCAAGTTGTAGGAAGTTAGGGTTCGTGGACTTAGTTTGTAGGTGTTCTTGGGGTGTTGTAACCTCAAAGGTCCAAAGGACCCAATAAGTAGGTACTTGAGTGTAGGATAGTAGTTACGTAGGTTACCATGTGGGAGAGTATATGATGATTAGGTACTTGGACCCTTAGGGTAAGGGCAGTAGATGAATTTCTGTAGTCGGGTCCTGACATTCTGGTGCAAGAAAGTCGTTCTAGGACCCCTAAATACTAAACCCGAAACCTCCAAACCCTAAACGCCCTAAACCCCCTTAACTCCAAACCCCAAACCCCCTAAACCCTAAACTTACCCTAAATCTTATTTGGGATGCTGCGGCTGGTTCGCATCAAAGTCGCCTCGTTTCAGAAGCAAACCGACAGGCTCGGGATCGTGCCTTGGCCTTAGCATTGTTCTTCGGAAGATGCTTCACAGCCAGACCTCGCCGTAGCACGCGCGAGCTACGGCGGCTGTTCCTCTTGAATGCTGAGCACATCCTGTGCTTAGAGAAGAAGCACCGGGCACCCAGCAATCGTCAAAGCTGGAAAATACACAGAGAGCATCTCAGCTACACAAAGCACAGGGCTCCGAATCTTGCGGCGCGCGTTGAACCGGGCGCAGGGAGGCTGGGATCGAGACTCTCTGCTCGTGTCCAGAGCATCCATCGTTCAGCAGGCCGTGGTGCTGCGGGAGACAGCACAGCAAGGACGCTTGCTACTGCAGACGCTGCGGACTGGCGCTGCTTTGAAACCGCTGCATCCACAACCCTTTCCCCTAAAGAGGTGCTCTGACCGGCTACGAGCAACGCTCGGCCTCGGCTGCAGCGAGAGCGTCCGACTACTGTCCTAGCACATGCAAGGGTTTCAGAGTTGAAGAACTCCAGCAAAGGCTGCCCTTCTGCGAGAGTTTTGCATGGTTTAGGGTTTGGGTTTAGTGCTTCGGGTTTAGGGTTTAGGGTTTGGGTTTAGTGCTTCGGGTTTAGGGTTTGGGTGTAGTGCTTCGGGTTTAGGGTTTAGGGTTTGGAAGGCCGGAATCTCTTGAAGGACTCGATAGGCGTCGGATCCTTAGTCTCTAAAGCCTTACCATATACAGCCTCTGAGAGACATAATTCTGCTAGCTTTGCCGAAGTTCTGAACTCAGAAGCCATGCGAGTACTATAAGGGCCGCAATAATTACAACTACTATTTTGGGGGTTCCTTACTATAAACATAGTATTTTATCAGGCCCCAAAACCTAGTCTGATTTTAAGGCCCCTAGTTCTGACAACTCCGCGGCAGGAAGGGTGCGAGCCCCCAAACCCTAGTCTAATTATTAAGGCCCCTATATTAGTTCTGACAACTCCACGGCAGGAAGAGTGCGAGCTCGTCACACCCTCCCTGGCCTTGTCGCAGCTTTGGTCTCAGCATCAACCTTAAGGCTCCATGTACCAATTTAGGCGTTTCCGAAAATTCGGAGTACCTTACTTTGGCGTCCGTTGAAGAAGGATCCTGCTTACTTATTAATTAGGGTAGTATATTAGGGTCCCCTATTTTCGGAAACGCCCATATAGTATATGATACACTGGCCTTAAGCCTTAAAGTACCTGCATAGCGACCACTTTACGGCCTAAGTATATACTACATGGCTACATGGAGCCGTGGGCAAAGCAGCTGTTAAGGGCTTAGTGTCGTAGGGTTTAGGCTTATAAGCTCAATAAGGCCTTTACAGAGCACCTCCCACAACCCTACACCCTGAACCGCAAGCGTTTCAGAAAGGTATTGCACTGAGGGTCCAAGTGCCTAATTATTATCTTCGCTCCCAAACACTAACCTACGTAACTACTATCCTAAGACCGAGTACCAAATTATTGGGCTTATTGTTTGTAATTCCCAGGTGCGGAGGGTTGGGGGGGGGTCTGAGGTTTCCTTACAAGGGTGCGGAATTTCGAGTCTTCGGATCTCTTTAGGGTCTCCGAAACTCTACGTCTTGAGAATCCAGAAAGGTTTATGATTTCATTGTTGTCCAAGCCAGGTTTTGCCTTGGGTGTGATTGTCAAGGCTTTGCACCTTAAGGAAAGGTTGGAACTCCACGATGACTTACTTGCAGGATGATGGTACTTAGTAAGTAAAGATATGAGTACCTTAACTGGGGTTATAAGAAAGTATAAGTATGGTTGGCTTACGTGCAAAAGTTCCTAACCCATGGTTTCAACCGTTGATTGATGGGTGGGGAAATTAGCAATTAGTAGCCCTAGTCTTGACCCCGCACCTGGTCTTGAACCTAAACCCTAAACCTTGCCCGCCTGCTCAAGGATGACACGCACAAATCGAGAAGTGCGCCTAAACAAAGTAACCTGAACCCTAAACCTAAATCCCTCAACCCTCAACCCCTTGTCCATGTTTAGAATCTGGAAGAGCATGGAGAAACTCCTCGGCTTTTGCTCCAAAAAATGCCAAGAACCGCGCTAAGCACTTCCGCTTTTTGTCAAATGTTTACTGGGCCGACCCTATAAGCCCGAAACCCTCATGCCCAAAGGCTCCATGTAGCCATATAGTATACACTTACGCCCCAAAGTACCTATATAGGAACCCCTTTAAGGCTTAAGTATATACTATATGGGTACATGGAGCCTTAGGGATGCAGCTCAATGCCTGGAGTGGCGGTCGTCTGGCTTCGGAAATCCAGGTTGCCTCGAAACTGCTTGGAGTCATTGTTTCAAGAATCTCCGCCCCTGAAGGGCCGTCCTACAATGAGGGTCCTCCCTGTGGCCCGAAACCCTACAAAATATCAGGTCATGGCCCCTTTATAAGAGAGTAGAACCCTTAAAACTTTAAACGGATAGGTTTTTGGTCCACAAGTCTTTGTACTTCTCGGCAGACATGCATTTTTCGCTCTTCGGACTCCTTCCCGGGCGGCAGCGGAACGACAATAGTGAGCAACGACGACATGCCGCCCTGTGAGACAGAGTGCGTGGTGAAAGGTGGGCAAAGAATCAAAGCCCCTGACCGTCGTAGGTACCATGACACCGTTTGTCTGTGTTGTGACCTGAATACATATGATACAGGCACACAGACGGCGGACTTCAAGAGGCTATTTCTCGCACTTTCACTTTGTGCTGCTGAGATGAGCCCATCCAATGTTGATGCAGCGGTGGCGTTATTTCATGAAACCTACGGGGTGCAAGCGTGGCTCGACATGCTCGTTTTCCCAC